TGAATAAATTTGGGGACTAATTGCTTTTGACGTTTTCAAAACATTCGTATTAACTGGCTAAAATTGGTTGACAAGCTGAATATGTTTCATTTCTTTTGTTCCTAAAAAACTATAAAATCGGCTAATTTTATTTGTAGGTTTACAAAAAATAAATAAAAATGCTAATTCTTTCCAATTTTATGACATAAAAATTTGAAATTTCGTCATTCAGCAATAAGTGAAAAAAAATTATAATCGAATATATAACATCACTTTTTCTCTCCGGTCCGTTCATATTATTTGAAATATATCATAATTAAATAACACCATTCGCAAAAACAGATAAATGTATTAAATATTTTATCAAAACATACAAAAAGACAAATAATGCATAAAATATAAGTAGTTCAATCTTGAATTGGAAAATAATTGTTTGGTATTTGGTTGTCTAGCTCAAAATTAGGAGCCATGTTAATTTCATGATATTTTCAAAGTCTTTTTTTGTTGTTTAATTTGCGTGTGCAGACAAATGACGAACTGTTATTTTATGAATATACTAGTAAATTTTAATAAGCACAGTAAATTCGATCATCTTTGTAAATACATTACTAATGATTTTTTTTTTTTATCCCTACTGATTTTTTTTTTCTGTGTTTGTTTACCTTGTGGATTGTGTAAGTAGTGGTGGTGTTCTTTGTCTTGTTGACTTAAATGTGGGAGCATGGGATTTGGTGAGATCACAATAAACATATTATTAGGCGAAATAAAAAACAATTAATTAATTTGATTTGTTTCTTCGTTTAAATTAATATTTGATTGACTTTGCATGTCTTGACGTTAATCAGATCAAATCCCATTATTTATAACAAATTTTTTTTTTTCCAATTTATCTTTTTACTATATATATTATAATCTCCGAAAATCTGCAGATTCATGATGCACACCCTTCTTGGTGTAACTGTTAAATCTTTAATGAAAATTTCTCTCTTCTGTCTTCATCAATGGTCCAACCTGTAATTCTCTTATTCA